AATATCCAGGATACTTCACAATTGCAAAGGAACCTAAATATGTCAGATTATTATAATGTCCAGCAGCTGCATACTACTTAGTTCAATGTTATTCCACTAGAGTGCATACATGAGAAACATCGAGACACCTGTGAGGGGGTCCCAAAGGCTTCAACTGCCTAGGAGCCACCACAGAGTTTAATCCAGCAGTTATATGCACAATGCACACTATAAATCCTATTATCCATAGTCCCTATTCTCTATTCCATCTTGGGAGTGAGCAAGAGAGGGTGGCTACGTTCCTACATACAGTGGGACCATGGACAACAAACATAGCCACCCTCTAACAGGGGGATGGATCACAGCAGCAAGAAAAAAATTACTCTGAAGATTTCGAGGAGTCTAAGAATAATAGAGGGTATGTTTGTGTTAAGAATACATACTTCAACAATTTTTTTAGGCCAGTGCCACAAGGTGATAGGTTAGATGAGGTATCTCCTAATTTCCTCTGAGGGAGTAATATGCCCCAGTAGCTTCCTACACTTTGTAATGTAGTACTCGCTGAGTCTTTGGGTCTCCCTACAATTCTGCACAGCCAGGCAACAAGAGTTTTCTTCCACACCATCACAAGTCAGTAAACAGTCCTTGAGCTTAGTGTTCTATTTAAGCTTATGTTCTATTTAAGGGATTTGAACTTGGATGGGGTTGAAGGATGCATGGGATGCCCAAGGGAACTGTGAATTTCAAGGACAAACTCCTTAGCAACTATATACTAGTTGGTTTTTCTACCTGTCTGCCCTCTCCCCTTAGGGGTGTAGGATTACTCATTCTGTCTCTCCTGTGTGCTTAGTGGGTTGATGACTGGCTTCAGGCCTTACACTCCCTCCTCCACAGGTTGTCCTCTCTCTGGGAACAATGAGGCAGAGAGATCCTCCTGCCAGCTCCTGCCTTTCAGTGGGTCCCTCTCCTGGCCCCCCTCCCAGGCTCCACACTCCAGCCATCATTCCATTTTCCACCCACCACACTATTCCTGCTGATCAGGCTCTCTCATACTTAAGGGCTATCCTGACCCAATGCCAAGCCTCCTGCTTGGAGATTGGCCAAGATCCCTTAAGAATGCAGATCAGCCCCTCATCACCCCCACCCCACTGACATCTAGAAACTTCTCCAGCCTCTTGAGCAGGGAGAAGTATCAGGGAACTGACCTGCAGAGCCCTCATCCCTGACCTAAATTAATCTTGCTGACTCATCCCAGGCTGACTTATCCCAAGCTACTCAGCATCTACCTAAAAACTAACTAGCTCCCCCTAGCTAATCTTGAGTGGCGCTACACAACATAGGCATGGTATCTGCTTGATAGTAATGTAAGCACTTGTTATTAGCATAGCTTTATAATATTAGGATTTGTGAAATTTGAGCAGATTTTATTTAGAGCATTTTAAGATAGGGAATTCTGGGGTCAATGGGCTCAAATTATCTATCACTTAACTGCAAGCTAAACTAGTTTATGCTATAAAGCCTGCTGATGGATTGAATTACCTGCACCTGGATCATGTCAAAGATGCTATGAGCTAGAATTATTACTAGTTTTACGATATGCCATTACAAATGTCTGATTTGCAGTGTTATATCTAGATGCCAATACCAAATGTTAAGGGTTCCAGTTAAAAGCTTACATGGGCAGCAGAGTGGCTAAATGGTTAGCACTTCCACCTGGCAGCACTAGGGTCGTTGGTTCAAATCCCAACCATGGCACCACCTGCCTGGAGTTTACATGTTCTCCCTGTGGCCATGTGGATTTCCTCTGGGTACTCCAGTTTCCTCCCACACACCAAAGACAGGCTGGGAGGTTAATTGGTTCCTGTCTAAATTGTCACTAGTATGTGTATGTATGAATGTGAGTTATGGACCTTAGATTGTACACCCCTTGAGGGTTAGAGACTGATGTGAATGTACAATATATATATATATGTGTGTAAATTGATGGCGCTATATAAGTACCTGTAATAAATAAATAATACCACTGCTAATAGACCTGTGAAGCTTAAGGAAAGGTCTCTGCTGAAAAAGATGTTTGTTGACTTAATTGTGTCCTGGGGTCAGAGAAAAAAAAATTATTTAAAAAAAAAATGTCTCTGCCTGGACTCTGCAAATTTCAGAACAATAATGTTGTCTTGTGTTTCTTGCTCAGTTTCGGCTTCCTCAAACCTCATTATCTTCACAGCTGTATATTGTAATATGTCAGGAATTTACTCATGCAGACTCATAAAGGTTACCAAAAGGTTCTCTTTAATTAACCAATAAAAATATCACTTAACTCGTTATATTACAGTACACACACATTTATTTCTTACATTTCTTCAAGAATTGCATAAATTACCAAAAACACTGATATTAGTAACTTACACTCAAACACAGTTTCGAGACGATACTATGAGGCAGGGGTTATTTAAAGCTCTACGGTCACAGCATACACTTTCATTATAGAACATTAGCACTGTGTAATAACAGAATAAATACAGACAATAGGTATTTTTAGCAATCCAACATAAGCTTTCCTTTTATGCCATGAGTTCTGCCTATCTACTGACCATCTTTTTCTGCAACATTCTGAATCCTCCTTACTTTCCATTTCTAAGAACTACATATCCGATGGTACCTTGCCACCTGCAAGCAGATATGATCTTGTGTTTTTCTAGTACTGACTGTGCCTCCTGAAACTATCCTCTGTAGTTCGGATGGCAGGCTCTGTGCAATGTGTGACACGGAAGTGCATACTCACAGGGTATAGTGAATACGTGTCACCAAATTCAAGTAAATGTGTGGGATTCTTCCAAGAGTACTTTTTCAAACTTCAAGGTCATTCAGAGTAATAGGTTTGCGCTAGAAATAACTTAAATATAATGTGGAAATGACTATATTATTTAACATTTTAAACATAGATAGACCTTAAAGTGCTACTAAGGCTTTGTTTTTTTTTTGTTTTTATAAAATAACAAACATGTCATACTTACCTGCTCTGTGTAATAGTTTTGCACCCAGCTGCCCCGATCCTCTTCTTTTGTGGGTCTCCCACCGATGCTGCTAGCTCCTCCCCCTGAAGCAGTGGAGAGAAAGCTACTTGCCCTGTGGGCACCGCTGCATGCTCGCTCCTGAGATGCTGCTCTATGCGCCCATAAGCCACATATAGCCGCAACTGTTTCCTCTCCTCATTGGCTCACTGGCTGTTATTGTCAGCAACAGGAGCCAATGGACTCCCACTGCTGTCTCAGCCAATGAGGAGGGAGAGTCATCAGACAGCAGAGGCTATTGTTAACATGGCTGGATCGAAGGGGGCTCAGGTAAGGATTGGGGGGGCTGCGATCACGGCTGGCTGCGCACAGAAGGTTTTTTTACCTTCATGCATAGAATACAAAAGGCAAAAAACATTGAGCCTTTACAACCACTTTAAAACTGTTTTTCACTAAATGGCAGACCACAGTACAGACCCAAACTGAGATGACGGTCATATCCAGACCGCTAGCCATTCCTGAACACAGATTCCCCCTCTCCTCTGCAGTCATTGGTTGCTAGGACGGCTGGCATCCTAACAACCAATGATGCATGCCCTGCCCTCAACATCACATGTGGAAGGAAGTGGAACTTCCTCCATCAGGACCTGCAGCCTCTTCTGCCCCCTGGCTCCCACCCCTTGCTTGACAGGCACTAAAAGGTATGGGGAACAGTGATAGGGACATATAGTGTAAGGGGGCACTGTGATGGGGACACCTGATGGGGACACCTAATATAAGAAGACACTATAATAGGGACACCTGGCGTAATAGGGTACTGTGATGTGAACATCTGATCTAAGTGGGCACTGTGATGGGGGTCTATACATACATATGGCTACATACAGTATATGCTGTCTGAGTCACAGCACAAACATGAGATTTGGACTTCAACTGGTAGAAAACTTTACTTACCAGACTTTGAATTTTATTTCAGTACCCATGTTTTAAAGCTGATATTTTTTGGGTCCCATGCCTAGTTGTTTCCCTGCATCTCAGTAAACACTGGGGGGGTTGCTTCCTCTGTCATTTTATTTATGAATGCAAAGCGTTCTCTGATTGGAAAAGGTGGAGAGGCATGGCAGTAATGTCACAATCTCCTTGGAGGACACACTTTTGTTTTAATGGAACACAAGTGAATGATCATCACACTTGTAGTCCATTGACACTTCCTATAGCCATCTAACGGAAAGTCCATACCTTGGTACAGCCATAGAGCTGGAAGAAGAGTCTGCAACAGCCTGACATTGCACCCACAGTCCACTGATTGTGGTTGTAATGCTGTGCAGGCCCATTTGCAAAAAATAATAATAATACTGGCACATTTTTTTTCTGCAAATGTATTATTATTTTGTAAAATATGCATTTAACCTTTAAAAAAGCTTGCAGACCTTAAAAGTTTCAAGATGGGGAGGCAGTGTTACCTGGCTTGTTAAATGTCAGGCAACATTTAACATTTAATGCTTGCATTCCTAGAGATATTGCTTTGCTGTAGGTAGGAGACTTCCCCTATTAGTTACATCCCAGCAAAGGGAAGCTTCAGGATTTCAAGTACCCAATGCATATGCATGGCTTGGTTGTGGGACATGGATAACTGATGCTGCTTAAGCCTGCCTAAATATTGAATAGACAGGATGTTCTATGCAGTAGATATGCCTACAACCAGATAAATGAGAGATCCGAAAGCCCCTGTGTAGAAACACTGTCTTAATTTTCATGCGAATCATGCATACAGGTACCTTAAGGAGCAGTTCATTATTTACACACAGAAATTATTTTGTCCAGTTTTTGCTAGTCTCTCACATACAGATAATTCTCATGGTGACCTGAAGCCAACAATATTTTAAAACGATAACAATCTATTTACATTACTTCTCGATTTGGCTCCAGTATTATGAATGGTGGCTTTGTAACAAGCATTGTAAATGTAGGCATCAGTTCAAATAACTTCTGCTTGGGCACCATGTACCGTCATTTTTCCTCCTGTGACATGTGATAGTCTTTCCCCTCCTCCTGAGCCACAGGCAGTCCTTGCATTGTAATGTCCTGGTCATCTAGGTCTTCTACAGGAAGGTTGGGTTCATTGGGTATATTCAACAGGTGATTCTCATTGCCCTTTTCATGTGTATCCTGTTATAACAAAAACAAAATACAAACAATGGCAATCTTCTATCACAAATGATGGGCATGCCCAATAGATTAGCATGTGGACAGGTGTATAAAATTGTTTTATTGTATTGTATTCAGTCAATCCTGAATACGGCTGCCAGACTCATTCACCTTTCCAACCGCTCCATCTCCGCCACCCCCCTCTGCCAATCCCTCCACTGGCTTCCGTTTGTGCAACGGATCAAATTCAAAATCCTAACACTGACGTACAAAGCTGTCCACCATACTGCCCCGTACTACATCACTGACCTAATATCCAAATACCACCCAGCATGCACACTCCGCTCCTCACAAGACCTCCTTCTCTCTAGTTCCCTGGTCTCCTCCTCCCATGCCCACCTCCAGGACTTCTCCAGGGTGTCACCCATCCTCTGGAACTCCCTGCCCCAACCCATCAGATTATCACCTACTCTCCTTTAGGCGCACCCTGAAAACCCATCTCTTCAGGGAAGCCTACCCCACCCCCTGCTAACTTGCTGACCTCCTCCACTCTTCACTCCATCCCCCACAGCTATCTCCTCCTGTGCCACCATCCCCTCCCTCCTAGATTGTAAGCTCGAAAGAGCAGGGCCCTCAATCCCCTCATGTTTTGCATTGTACTGTTATTGTTCTGTCACATGTTCTGTCCCCCTTTGTAATGTACAGCGCTGAGCGAACTATTGGTGCTTTATAAATACTGTATAATAATAATAATAATATGAGTATGGGCTGTTGTTTCAAGTGACTACAGTACTAGTGTCTATGTGCATTACTGCAGCCAGTTAGTTTGGAAGCTGAGGTGACTTGGCACAGGTGGCTGGGATCCCCAGTAGCTAAGGAATCTGTGAGCTTGGTTCCTTCCCTAGAGACTGGTACCCCAACTTGAGTCTGAATGCAGTATGGGACATCTTAGGGACCCAGCTTGGTCTTAGAGTATTAAAGCACAAGTCAGTAATGCTAGATAGCTTGCTGGGATACAGATCTAAGAGTGGAGAAGAAGAGTTAAACATGCATATCAATGTCACTGGAATGATTTGAAAGGTTGCTGGGCTGGTGGAGTCTGAAGCACGCTACAGAAATGGCTCAGAAACACTCTATATGGCTCCGAAATGCTGCACAGGAAGGAGAAGTGTGCTATTGAACTGTTACGTCAGGTGTTCAGTGCAAGAAAGGAGTTAGCACACTACTGTATTCAAGTTGCCTAAATGTCTGCTCAGGGGAAGTGCTGTTCATAATGGAGTGCTGCTTTAACGCCATACCCTATGTTTAGCCATATACCTCGGGTGCCTTGCAAGGGCATGAGTGCTCTGTCTCTCCAGGTCTCCACAAGTGATTCTGAATAGCTATCTTTTCACTTTTAGGTACATTGATGGCCCAGGAGGTCCCTATTACTGTGGAGTAAGCGCTTGTCTGTGTCAGACCACCTAGTCTGTTTAAAGCACACTTAATCTTATGGCCAACTGTCCTTACTGCTGCTAAGCAGATGTTTGGTAAAGCATGGAAAACTCCCAATCTTTCTATAGCTGAAACTAAATCCAGGATCACGTAGACCATGCTGTACAAGAAAGTAGAGGCTCAGTTGTCTGATACAATTTAAAAATACCCTGCTGTTTGGTACCCTTGGTTTGCACACTTTCTTTCTTCTGAACAGCTGCTGGCCTATACGCCTTTAGGCTTTTGGCTAGACTGTGGTCCCTCTTACCTATCCTTTTTATCCATTGGTTCAACACTCCTTCCTTCTGTTTCTCCTCCAACTCCATTCCAGCAATTTATTGGTTTATCAGCAGGGCTTTAGACTGCTCAGCCACCAAGCCCTTACATGTCCCTTACTGTAACATCAACCTTTATAGATGTAGCACTACCCCTGAGTTTCTGAAGATTTGGGTCCCCTATAGTCCTGCACAGCCAGGCAACATGCATTTTCTTCAGACCTTGCACAGTTCTTGAGCTTGTATTTTGGATTTTATTAAGGGGTATTGAACTTGGATGAGGTTGAGGGGTGTAAGAGATGACAGGGGAACTGTGAACTGAGGACAACTCCTTAGCAACTATGTGCAAGTTCATCAGACAAAAATTATCTTCTCGAAGAGTTAGCCAGCCTTCCTGGCGTACAACCTCAGACCCCAGATTAAATCTCCTCTTCACCCAACTGCCTGAGGGAATCCCTGGACAAGGGGACCCAGAATCTTCCATTTTAAGATCAGCAGTCCCAGATGGGGCTAGTCAGGTTTCCCACCAGAATGCCCATGAGTTGGTGGCTGCCTTCATTCCTTATGCTGAGCTGGCTTCTTTCCTGCTTCCCAGGAGGCTGTCCTCTCTCAGGTGACAGTTGAGGCTGAGAGATTGTCCCTTCCAGATCCTCTGCCTGTGGGTAGACCCCTCTCCTGGACCCCCTCCCAGGCTCCTCACTCCAGCCTGCTCACTCCACCTACCTGAACTCTCCTGCTGTTGAGCAGGTTCTAGCACACTTAAAGGCTGCCCTGGCCCCATGCCAAGCCTCCTGCTTGGGGATTGGCCAGGATCTCCTAACTGTGAAGGCCAGTCCCTGCTCACCCCCACCCACTGCTTCTAGAATCTTCGCCAAGATTCTAGAGCAGGGGGAGGTATCAGGGAACTGACCTGCAGAGCCTCTCAGTCAAGACCTAAAATAAACCTCTGACTCGACCCAGGCTGCTATTCAGCCTTACAGAAAACCTAATCTAGCTCCCCCTAGCTACTTAGGAGGGTGCTACATAGAAATGTTTTCAATTGATCACCATGATTACTGAAAGTAATTAGTCACTTCTGTACATTCTTCGTAATACAACCCTGTACATATTGCTACCCTTTTTCTGCACTTTCAAAAACTTGTAATAGAATTTTGATAACTTAATAAAAAAGTATTGAGCCATAAGATACAAACAATGGCCCAAGGGATGATAGTGGATTTTTATAACGCATTACATACTGCTAGTCTCTTTATCCAACCAAACCCCATTCAGATATATTTGAACTAACCCATATCCATGCAGTTGGCAGGTTTGCTTAAAAGCTTAGATATTACTTGCTGTATGTTAATAAATTCTTACCTCTATTTCAAGTTTCACCTTGACCTTCTTTCCTCTTCGTCTTTTTCTAACTAAACAAAAAATATATATATATATTGTTACATCAAGTCATTTATATTTAATATTCAAATTTATATTATGGCTAATGCTAGAGCTTTACAAGTTTCGCGATTATAGCATCAAATACCTCCCAAAAGCCAACCCACTGCTTGTAACAGAACTAAAAGCTCTTGAGAGAAGTACTGAGGCAGGATACTGTAATGTTTTCAGGCCCATTACCACAAGCCATGATCTGCCTGCATTGCATAGAAAAGCATAGCAACCCAGTGCTTACATCACTGGGTCTAAAATGAGGTATGTTATAAAAAACTAACTGTATTTTTTTATTTCATTACTGTGTTGATGAGTGGTGGGGGAGACCAGGTAAGGCCAAATATAAGCAGAGAAAACCCCAACTTTATTGCCTTCTAGCGACCTCCTATTGGTAAGTGAAGCTATTCATCATTTTCAGGAAGTAATAGAGAGTTGTGAGAAGTGGTAGGCCAATTCTCAACCTTCATAGTCACATTAGAGTTCCCCAGGTTTCAGAGATTACCAGGGTCCTTATGTATGTAACAATAATAATTATTATTCAGGATTTATGTAGTGTCAACAGTGCAATATACAGGGGCACAGTACAATTACAATACAGATCAACACAGAAGGAATAGGAGGGCCCTTCCCATAAAGCTTACAATCTAATAAAAGTTAAGTAGAGACATTAAAAGTGACACTAAACTATATCCTTGTTCTCCAAAAATCATCCATACCCACCCACTACTTAACCTCCCTGGCGGTATGATTCTTTCCGATTTTTTGTGCTGAAAGCGGTACCATTTTTTTGCATGGAAATATGTAGTTTTTTATTGTAGGTTGTAATTTTTAGGAATAACTCACTGAAATCTGTCCGAACAAGAGTCTATTAAACATTCCGGATATGATAAAACTTGAAACACGAAATCATAAATTATAATTTAATAAATAATCATAAAAAATAATCTAATAATAAATTTAATTCAATAATATAATCAAACCAAAAACACTGAAATTTGAAATACAGAGGCAAATTCGCACATCGCTGAGCAAAGTCGCAAAATCGTTTTCAGTGTCTGATGACGAATTTCCCCACGAATCATTATCACTCAATTCTGCAAGTTTTTCTGATTTACTATCGCTGTTCTCTAGCTGTTCTAAAACCGCTTTTGACGTAAAGGGACGCTTTTTGGATGCCATGGACTTTTCTAAGTTTCCAGGCAGAAAGAACATTCAAAATGCAGGCAGGGCACAGGACAAAGAAGTAGGGACAAAATATATGTGAAATGCATTGAAACAGCAATGACAGCAAAAATGAAATTTTGTAAAAATGTCAAATTTCCCACCGGTTCCGTCGCCCGTACGTCCCGACGTCACAGGGACCGGAACACAGAAGCCGAATGCCGGCATTGGCCGGAGGAGATGGCCGGGGATGCTGCAGGGGACACATCGTGGGAGCGAAGGACAAGGTAAGTGCTGCAGAGACCCCCTGAGCAACGCCGCATGGTAAGCGCAAGTGTAGCTCGGGGTTACCGCTCTTGGTATTGAAATTTTACCCCGAGCTACACTCGGGAACACCGCTAAGGAGGTTAATGACCCCGTGTGATCTATTCTTCATTAAGTTGTTTCTGCCTCCTTGTAATGTCCTCCATCCCAAGCCTCTCAATATCCCCCTCGCTACCATTTGTTTGAAATGAGCACTGCATTTTAGTTGCTGCTATTTGCACTGCTTTATGCACACTACAAATCCCAAAGTCCCTAGTCCAACTCAGAAGTGAGCAAAAGAGGATGGCTACATTCCTACATATAGTGGGACCATAGAGAACAAACATAGCCACCCTCTAGCCGGAAGTTAGATCACAGCAGAAAAAAATAAAAGGAATTTATAAATGAGAAGGAGGCTGAGAGCAATTGAAAGTACTTTTTTAGAGAATAGAATTTTTTTTTAAACCAGAGTTTAGCATCACTGGTATGCTCCATGTACACGGGACATTTGGAAAACACTTCTAAACGATGGAAACTGACTGCTGGAAAATGTAGCTTCAAAAGACCTTACAAAATACCCAGAATGCACTGAAAAATAGTAAAAAATTAACTATTTCAGACATTTTGAGAGAAATAGAGAGAGCAGAAGCAGAGAGAGCAGTATTTGTTAAGATTAGCTGTCTTTTTTTGTGGTGTTTGGATATGTTCCAGCTCATTTCTGTGCAGAAATTATTGCAGCAGTGTCTAACATATTTTCTTTCATGCAAAACCACAAAGTATGGTGTACCAGGTCCATTTGAGTAGCGGCAAAACGCTTTGCATGCGTTTTTCATGTTGAAAAAAGGCTCTGAACAGCATCTGGAAATGGAAGAGTTAAAAAAGTTTCCAAACGCAAACAGCCGCGTTTACAAGCGTTTGAAACAGTGATAAAATCCTGAACGCAAGTTTGGTGCGTTCAAAAAAACAACTGTAAACTCAACTGCCTGTAAACGACGATGAGTACATGGACACATAGGAAAACATTAGGGAGAGTTCAGGGGCTGCTGAAAAAAATGCAAAAAAGCTCCTAAATGTGAGTACATGGAGAGGATGAAGAGTGGAAAGTTAGAGTGGATAGTTGGGAAAGGTTACTTAAAGAAATTGAGTGATCTGATGCACCGCAGCTGTGCCTGGATCAAATACGTGTGGTCCTAACTTTCTGTATGCCATTCAAAAATTATTTTTTAAAGCTGACTGTAGTTTATTTTGAAGGCCTCATGCACACTGGACATTTTTACAGCAGCTGTTTTTAGCTTTTGCCATTTTTTTTCTACAGCCAGTAAACTTCCCAGCATGTTATCCTATGGGGTTTATTTACTAAAGCTGGAGAGTCCAAAATCAGACTCCCTTCTGCATAGAAACCAATCAGCTTCCAGGTTTTATTGCCAAAGCTTCATTGAACAAGCTGAGGTTAGAAGCTGATTGGTTTCTATGCAGAAGGGAGTCTGATTTTGGACTCTCCAGCTTTAGTAAATAAACCCCTTGGTGTCCATGCACACATAGGCTAACCACTTGCCTACCGGCCACTTATACTCCCTTCCTGCCACAGGCCAATTTTCAGCTTTCAGAGCTGTCTCATTTTGAATGACAATTGTGCGGTCATGCAACACTGTACCCATATGAAATTTTTATAATTTTTTTCACACAAATAGAGCTTTCTTTTGGTGGTATTTAATCACCACTGGTTGTTTTATTTTTGGCGCAATAAACAAAAAAACAGAAAAAAAAAAGTTTTATTTGTTTCTATTATAAAATTTTGCAAACAGGTAATTTTTCTTCTTCACTGATGTGCATTGATGGGCACTGATAGGCGGCACTGGTGAGGTGGCACGAATAGGCAGCACTGACGGACACTGATAGGCAGCACTGATAGGTGGCACTGATGAGGCAGCACTGATATGCAATAATGATGGGCACTGATGGACACCACTGATGGATGGCACTGACCAACAGCACTTCTGGGCACTGACTGTCGGCACTGCTGGGTGGCACAGATGGGGGCACTGGTGGGCGGCACTGCTGGGCACAGGTGGGTGGCACTGCTGGGCACAGGTGGGTGGCACTGCTGGGCACTTGTGGGTGACACTGCTGGGCACTGATCATCAGTGCCCTGATGATCGGTGCTGATCCGTCCTCTGACAATTGCCGGTTATCGGCAGTACTTTGCTCACACTGTGACAGCATGAGGAAAGTGCAGCCGATAACCGGCAACTTCATTTTCTGGTGATCTGCTATGTCATTGGACACAGCTAATCACCTGTTAAAAGGCCGCTGTGATTGGCCGTTTACCACATCACGTGATCAGCTGTTTCCGTAGGACACAGCGATCACGGAGATCGCCGTAGGCGCGCAGGAGGACGCATTCTGGGAGGACATCATATGATGCCCTCCCAGAACTAGACAACCTGTTGGCAAATGGTTAATCACCGGTATTTGGCAGGGGCATTTTTTGGATGGAAAAAAAACAGAACTAGTGGGTTTCTAGATGACATTTTTAGCTGTAAAACACTTGTAAATGCAGCAAACTGGGTGTTTTTTTTTTTTTTTGCGAGCCAAAATTTATTTTTTTTTCTCTAAAAAATGCGTAAAAACTCGAGTTCTTAACATGACTTTATACAGCTAACGCTACTGGCATTTTTAAAATGCCCAGTGTGCATGAAGACTAAAACAGAAGCACTATGTTGGTGATGTATGAACTGTGAACAGATCCTCTTTTTGGTACATTGCTGTCTATGGAGAGTTTTCATTAACAAGCTGCCTTGTTCAGAGCAAGCAACAGTGTCACCTACAGGCTGAAAACAGACAAAGCACAGTACATGCCAACACATTGCATGCACCAGTCAGACAAAGCTCTCTGATTCAGCAGTTGCATATTAAGAAATAGGCCTTCAAATATATTCCTAGTAGCCTTCTCCTAGCATAGAGCTAATTACATTGTCTACACGGTGTGGGCATTGTTATAAATAATTAGATTGAGCCCTGCAGTTATAAATCTTTATCACAATGACAAGTATCTTTATAGGCAGCACAGTGGCTAAATTGTTAGCACTTCCACCTGGCAGTATTAGGGTCATTGTTTCGAATCCCAACCACATGTTCTCCCTGTGCCTGCGTGGGCTTCCTCCAGTTTCCTCCCATGCTCCAAAGACATGCTGGTAGGTTAATTAGATCCTGTCTAAATTGGTCTTAGTGTATGTATGAATGCAAGTTAGGGGCCTTAGATTGTACACCCCTTGAAGGGTTAGGGACTGATGTGAATGTACAATATACATATATGTACAGCACTGCATAAATTGACAGCGCTATATAAGTACCTGAAATAAATAAAATGCATTTTAGTGATTGTAATATTAAAACCTCATTGGACTCACACAACACAGTATTTGCAGAACAGTTCTTCCAAGGGGAAATTTGCACTAAAAACTATAGACGTTGGCATTGATTATCCTCTGGAAAAAAACTAGTTGCCTGGTTG